ACACACATGCTAAAATAACAACAACTTACTGACACATAGTAAGAAATGGTTATAAAAAACTGAAACAGAAGTGAAACAAGTAGTAGGAAATTTTTATTAATTATTTTTTATTTATTCATTAATATTTAGGCTAATAATAAAAAAAAAAAAGAATCAAAGGAATCGTATGATCAGGATGTTAATATAAACAAAAATATCACCTTTCAGAGCAAACATTGACAAATATGTTCCAGCCATGTTCGTCACTTTGCGGTTCCCTTAAACATTTCCGATGTGGTCTGTGCCTATTTGCAGAGCGTTTCTTTATTTGGTTGTGTTGTGAGCATTTGCAGCACGTTTCTGTTTTTGCAGCGCATTTCTTTATTTGTTTGTGTTGTGCGTATTTGCAGCGTGTTTTCTTTATTTGGTTGTGTTGTGAGCATTTGCAGTGCGTTTCTGTTTTTGCAGCACGTTTCTTTATTTGGTTGTGCATTTGCAGCGCGTGTGTTGTCAAATTGATGTAGGCCTAGATGTTTTCTTCATTTGCAGGTGTTTTTTCTATTTGCTTAGAAATTGTTGAGCTCTCTCGGCCACCGTATGAGATAGTGTTTACTGTTACGGGGCGAACGAGATGAGAGACGTGTGGATCCATATGCAAAGCTTATTTATTAAAGACGTGGTCAAAAACAGGCATGGGTCGACAACAACAACAGGTATAGCGTAGACAAAGAGTAATCCAAGGACAGACGTGATCAATCTCCGGCGAACAATATCCAACAGGGCAAGGCAAAGAGAGATAATCCAGGTACACAGCAATAGTCCAGGCAGGGGTAAACAGAGTCCGAACTGGGCGAGACGAGAGGGTAATCCGAAATACACAGGCAAGAATCTGAACACGGGAAAACAGGCAAGGCAAGACTATGACTAGACTATGTAAACTAGGGCAGGCTCCGTAAAGTAGCTATCAGCTAAAACAGTGATAAACGCTGAACAATACTCGCCGTCTGCAATGGTTTGAGTGTGGCTTATGTAGTGTGTGTGATTGGCTTCAGGTGAGCTTGTGATTAGTGCAATGGAGCATGGGAAATGTAGTCCAGGGTGACATGTAACAGTTTGTGTAGTGTGAGAGTCAATGTAATTGGAAAGGGTGACCGCTGGTGGCAATCAGACGGATTCGTGACACTTACATACGTCATGTCTGACACTTACATACGTCATGACAATTCCCATTGTCATGCAGAATTGATGCGCTACATGTAAACGATATTCTTTGTTGTATTTTTTGTTGTAATGTTGTCAAAATAACGGAGTTCCTTTGGATTTTTTCAGCTTTTAAGAAGGCGATTCAATTGCCAAGGTGTCAGTAGAGGGCTGAATATATAATGTTACAATTTAAAATAGCTGTTTGCTATGTGAATATGTTGAAATGTAATTTATTCCTGTGGTGGCAAAGCTGATTTTTCAGCAGTTATTACTTCAGTCTTCAGTATCACATGATCCTTCAGAAATCATTCTAATATGCTGATTTGCTGCTCAAGAAACATTTCTGATTATTGTCCTATGTTGAAAACAGTGCTGCTTCATATTTCTTTGTAGAAAAGGTGATACATTACCATTCAGTCTGGGGTAAGATAAAAAAAATTAATTAACTTTTATTCAACAAGGTTGCATTAAATTGATTTAAGTGACAGTAAAGAGATTTATACTTACAAATTATTTATATTCTTTGTATTCATCAAATAATCCTGAAAAAGTTAAAGTATCTCAGTTTCCCCCAAAAAATAAATAAATAAATAAATTGAGCACAAATAATAACTGATAATAATTAAGCAGCAAATCAGCATATTAGAATGATTTCTGAAGGATGATGTGACACTGAAGACTGGAGTATACTGAAAATTCAGCTTTGATCACAGAAATAAATTACATTTTAAAATATCTTAAATAAAAGCACTATTTTAAATGTAATATTTCATAATATTAGTGTTTTTACTGTATTTTTGATCAAATAAATTCAGCCTTATTTAAAAAAATAAATAAATACAAGCCTTAATTATTTCAAACTTTGTATCACCAGTGTGTATATAAAATAATGCATGTGAACTATTTAGCATTATATTTTTATTATAATATATCCTAATCACAGCAATTGAAAACAAAATGAAATGTAATTTTGAGAATAGTATTTTAGAGTTATGAAACATTTTCTTGTGAAATTATGGAAGAAAGCCTGTATAGAGATATACAAGCATTCGCTCTTATCTTATGTCTGCTGAAAACTGCTACGTCAATGTTTCTATGTAGGCTACATTGTGGCAAATAACGTAAATGGCATTAAAATCAGCTCGCATTCTAGACTTTGATTTGATTGATTTATTTCAAACATTTTGACACTGACGAGCGCTTTTGAACTTCTGCACTGAGCCAGAGCACGCTAAATTAATTTGAATGTTTGACTCAAGAGGGCCACGCGGGTCATTCGTCTGGGCCGATGGAAGGATATAGGCTATGTACATTTACTATCATTCATTCTTTATATATTTACGCAATGTACAGTGGCAGACCGGGAAAACTCCCGGTGCTCCAGATGGCTTGTCCGCCACTGCTTGAATCTTATTGGTTGAGTAGTGTTCCAAGAGTGAGTTATGGCAGTATGTCAGAACAGCTGTGATTCGGCCGCAATATCTGGTGATGTGAGGAGAAAAACAATATTTGTATGATTGAAGTTTCATGCGAGTTGTTTTAAAAATATATGCAGATCAACATCTATCTGACACAATGTCCCACTCCTTCCCTAGAGTGTTGTGTCCAAGTATGGCTCTCAGTTCAAGGGGAATGCTCAACACGACGCTTTGGAGTTCCTTCTGTGGCTCCTGGACTGTGTGCATGAGGATGCCAGCCTCTCCACCAACAACAACTACAGCAGCAAAACCAAATCATCCAGCAAGGTAACACATATTCAGTCCTTCTAAACGCTCTTCAAAATATTTTCAAAGTCAACTAATTGTTGGGACAATGCAGTGACCAAAAACACCTAGGCCTACAGCCATACACAGTAAGCTTTACTGTTCAAACTGTCTAACAGCAATGCAATATAGTATGCGGGAAAACAGTAAGGCAAAAGAGTGTCTAAATGTCTAAATTCCCAGTAATTAGAAACAGTAGGCAAAAAGTACCCGGATGACCTACTACATCCCCTGAGATTCTAGAGTGCACACTCAATCGACAATTTATTATTTCATGTTGCCACTGGAGAGGAGTTGTGAATGGCAGTGAAGCAATGCAACTGTCACTGGTAGATCACAAGACAAGATATAGAACATACTTTTTAACAGTCACATACAATGTTGCCTGTAAGCTGCGCACGTGCGCAGCCGCGCACTTCATTCGTCGTGACCACACAGAAGAAATAATATGCCACGCACAGGACAGACACAAAAATAAGTTGGGAAAGTCATTTGATTAAATTCTAGTTAAGTGCGAAATAATTGCAATGCTCAGGCAAATCACTATAGACTTGGTGTCGCTATAGAGTTAGAACCAGTGAATGTGGTTTACAGGTTACATAGAAAGAATGATGTGTGCCAAATCAGTCACTGTAGAAATTGAATACTTTAATGGTTGTGTACAAAAAGCTCAACTCGAGAGTCAACGCAAATGTAATGACGTGAAATAAAACGTCATCTTGTTTTAAAGAAGAGTGGCTTGATTAAGTTGTGGAAAAAGTGGATGATGGGCACAGAAAGATAACAAAACTCTTGAGACATTTACAGTCACACACAGGTTTAGTAGTGTGCAAACTCTACTACATGGGGATGTTTTAGATAACTGTAAAAGAATTCACATGTTCTCAGGTAACCTACAATGTGCCTCATTTAGTTACATCAAGGGTCAAATCAAATATAAATAGCACATTACAGTTAAAAGTTTAACACTTTTTTGTGTGTGCTGCACAGGTCTGGTATAAATAATATTTTTGCTCAGGTGGCTGAAATGTCCGCCCAATAGGGACATTTTTTGCTCAGCAAGAAAAAAATTAGAGGGAACATTGGTCACAGAGTAAGTATCAAACCAAATGTAAGTGCCTACTTCACAGTATGCAATTAGAAATTTGACACAGCAATAAGAACATATCTACATAAGCTAGTCAAATGCATTACATGATTACCTGTTGTCATGACCCATCCTTAGTTAGGAGATGAGTGTTTTTCTCAGCACACAATATTAAATGTATTAAAATACTTTTTTGTTAAAGCTGGAGTATTCCGTTTCTGCGCTACTAGCGTGACGGAACAACAAAAATAAAGAATGCGCATCACGCTTCGCCTAATTCAAACATCTTTTTTTTTTAAGTTTAGCTTACCTGTCAAGAATAAATTCTGCAAATTCGTTGTATCAATTGAAACCGATGGGTTACTTAACGTAAACCCAGGTGCTTTGAAAACAGAGTGACTTGTTTCACTATGGGGAATGACTTTGGGCGTGACCAACTGCAGAAGCTCTTATGACACTACGTCTGTCTCTGACAGACAAGTCGACCTGTGACCATGCTCCGCCCCACCTATTATTTCCTCCCATACTGTGCAAGGAGGGAAGTGCTGGTAAAACAGCTCACTCTGTTATCAAAGAACCCAGGTTTACGTTAAGTAACCCATCGTTCATCTTCTAACTCCGCTCGGTGTTTCACTATGGGAGATGTAGACCACTCCCGGATTTCACACATATCGCTGCTATCACCCATAACAATTAAATGGACATAGACCTACCGGCTCCCAGCACTGCATGTGCTAAGGCTGGCACAGACACGTCCAGTCTATAGAATCACACAAAGGTATGTGGTGTAGCCCAACTTGCTGCTGAACAAATATCTTGAACAGAAACTCCCCTGAGTAAGGCCCACTATGTAGCCATACCCTTTGTGGAGGGAGCCCAAGGTCCAGAGCCATCCAGTTGGGGTCGCTGGCCAGCTTGCTGCCCACTGTGAGCAGGTCTTAGAGCCCTAGCGCCCACTGGACTCCCTCTTGCTGTCGTGGCTGCTGTAAAGCCCTGTCGTGCCGGTTGAGTGGCACTTGCTTACGTGGCAAACATCCTCCTGTTTCCTGAGGGTGCTGGTTTTCCTAATTTTCCCCAAGGGCTGGGCCATAGTAGGGTCATAGGCAACATCCATTATTTCCGACTTCTGCGCGTCGCTCAAGTCTGACAGGTTTAGCCATAACGCTCTCTTACCTGATACAGCCAAGCCCATCACACGGCCACAGCCCTAAATCATTCACCACACAAATTTCATCCCAGAGTGTCAGGTTCGGCACTCCTCAAGCTGTCACCCCGTCTCTACAAAATCTCCATTTGGTACGCTGACAGCAAAGTCACTGCATTCAGTGAGCACATGGACTGCCCTGTGTATTTATACATGCTCTGATACATTGACGCAGTCAGCCATTCCATCTTACTCGGCAGTGAAATCTGAAAGGAGGCAGAAATAGAGTGCCGATTTGGGATGGAGGTGATAGGCCATTGAAGATCCATGTCTAAATCGAGGAGATCAGAGTTAGCTTCGCCCTTTGTGTCCTCATCCCCCAGTTCACCCTCCTCGTGCATGAGTAGGCCCTCAAACAGTGGCGGCATATCCGGGGATTCGGCTTCCATCATGTCCGCCCAGCTCGTACTAGCTCACGTGAGATGGTCAGGTGCCGCAGATTGTGTGGCAGATTTGGAGCAGGCATGGATCCTGCTTGTTAGCCACCGCCAGTCTCAGCCTCCTTTCCAAGATTTTCACGGACAATGACGCACAGTGAGCGCACGTTTGTGGGTCCGCAAGAAACGTTTGAGCGTGCTTCAAGCCCATACACACGATGCACATGGGGTGAGGGTCCCTGCCCGAGATTGTAGCTCCACACGAGGATGGACATGGGTTTCATTCCCTTTGATGGTGGTGATGACCATCGACATAATGGCTGAGAAGTGATGCAAACCTGGTCTAAGGTAATTAAACCTTTAGAATAGCTCACCTTGACACGGACACTATTGGAATTTTTAAGGATGTCACTCAACAATATCCATTCCAACTGCCCTCGCGTTCGGTGACGGATTCCAATGACGGCCCGCCGGTTGAACAGTTTAGCGAAATCACCAAAGTCAGAATGTGCTGAGAGAGCTTGCTCCAGTCTCCCATAGGAAGAAAGTGCGAATGACTTTGGCAGGGGTCGACCTGGCTGATATAGGTGGGGCAGAGCCTGGTCACAATTCGATTTGTCTGTCAGAGACAGACGTGGTGTCATAAGAGCTTCCTCAGTTCAAAAAAAATGTTTTTTTGGTTAGAATTTTGTTAACCTAAAATGCTTATTCGTGCACTGATTTGTGAATTTATAGGATGGATTTACAGGCATTTTAAAACCGATTTAGTTTCCACTTCATGTTACTGCACACAGTGTGTTGCATATGATGCTCCCCACATACATGTAGTGTCTTATCAACGGAAGAAGAATAACTAGACATGCAGTTACATTCAAACTACCAGTCTTCTCTTGTGTGTCTCTTTACATGCTGTTTCTACTGAGTCTGAGACCTCAAACTCCATTAAGCTAGGAAGTTTCAGCCTAAGATGCGACTCCCCCCTGTGTATGATACATTGGCTGACTGGTTTTCCCGTTTCATTTGATAACTTTTGTACTAGAGAGAGGGCGTAGGAGTGGAAAATGAGTGGGTGGATTGGTGTGGGGGTGTTGTGAAAGTGTTGTAATGTTCTGTATATTTCACTGAGACCTTATTGTAAGTGTTTATTCTCTTTAGAAATCAATGAGGAATTGGAGAGCGTGGAATGTGCTCTTTAAAAATTCACTGGGGTGTTTAAAAGAAGGTGCAGGTTTGATAATCGCATATTCACCTTCTCAGAGTTTGGAGGCTGTTAGAACGCAGTAGATTGTACAGGGTGTCAGACAGCAGCAGGTCAGCTGAAGTCTGTGTTTTGGCAGTGAACACACTTCAGCCTTTGTCTGCTGTAGTGGCAGCAAATGAAGACGCCAAGCCTGCATGGTAATGTGGCAGCTCCATCAAGAGACATTTTTAGACTTATCACAGACTGGGTCCGTATCTCTGGCCCCTCACATCACACTCTGATCTCATCCAAACAGACATGGTTATTAACAGATAAATGACAGCTAGACACTTTCTAACACTGTTACTGCTTATAATTTGACATTTGAGTTCTAGACTCTCATTTAAAGCAAAAAAAAAAAAAGAGAAGCTTTTAACCATGTCTGTGATTGTTGAATATAATGTTAATTGTTATGCCTTGTTATAATTTTTTATTAATTTATAATTTTTGCTCATGGCTGTATTGCAAGTGAGCGGTGCAACATGAAGTGAATTTAGCACCAGTTTTTTATTACTGATAGACCTAATTTACATGCCTCTGATTAATGATTGTTTATACACACAATGAACATGCCTATGGTTGGTTACATTGGTGCAAAAATGTTAAACTAGTGCAAACGTTTCATCTGAGCAGAAGCAGATATTTAAAAAATACTGTAAGTAACATCTTTCATGGGTTGTTAATCATGGCATCTGCAATCTTGATTATTTTTTACATATTTCATGCTTTATTGTGCATCAGTCAATTCCAATTAGTTCCGGTCTGTGTTAAACCGGTACTTAACCAACAATAGACTCACAATTTAATTGTTTGTTTTAATTGATTGTAATGCATCATAACAGTTAAATTATGTGACTAATACCATTCAGTGTTGTTGTTTTTTAAACTAAAACTAAAGCTGTTATAATCAGTTTCCTTAAAAAAGGTGAAATAAAACTAAATCTGAATATTACATAAATCTATAACAGGGTGTCCGCGGGGTCTTAAAAAGTATTAAAAGTTGATAAATCAATTTAGAGAAAATTAAGGCCCTTAATAAGTATTAAAAAGTCTTAAATGGCATTTTCCAAGGTA